GATTGGCCAGGGCTGTGTTTGAATCATGCTGGCTCTGTCAGTCTCAGCCAATCCTATGGAGAAGCACTGTGATTGGATCAGGCTGTTTTTCTGAGTCTAACAGCATGCAGATTTACAGCTTCAGGCTTGAATACAGTAAGATTTTTACTATATTTATGGAGACATGAGGGATCCAGGGGGACTAGATAGTGGTGTTAACACTATAGGGTCAGGAATACATGTTTGTGTTCCTGACCCTATAGTTATCCTTTAATATATGCTATATTTAGAGTAAGAAAGTGATATATTTTATTTTAAGCAGATCCAAGCAACTAATTGAGATTGACACACTCGGACTATTGTAATGGAACACATGGAAGTGCGGTTTGAGCCGCAAACAAGAAATACCAGCCTGGATACTAGATGGAACGCAAGCATTCTGAAGCTGGAACGCAAACGAACCAAGATGGCGCTTTGAATGTGGAGGATCGGAGAATGGATCGAGATTGCTGTCTGTAAAAGAAAAAATAAAGAGGATTGGATGCATCAGGAGGATGTTCCCCAGACTAAACTGTGTAATATTGGGACTGATCCGATTTAAGAATAGGAAACTGAGGGATGGGTAAGCTGACATTTTTTGGCATTTATTACCATTGATTCTATATTGATTTTGGTCCCTGAGGAACGAAACGCATAGGACCTAATTAGTTTATATTTTATCAATTTTTATTTATTGTTTTACTTTGAATACATTTTTTTATACTACCTACTCATCGTGTTCCTTGTACCTGTTCGTGAGAAGGGATAGCACACAGGAGTTCCCGATCCTATACCCATAGAGGGGTGGATTTGTGATATGCGCATGTATATATACAGTGTTACACTATGTCCGGTTTTGATCACCACTTGAAAAAGCCCATTGTGGGTAAAACGTGTTGTGTTGTTTATCGTTATATTTGTCTTAATAAAGTTTTGGTATCTTTTATTACCAATATTAGTACCATATACTTTTTTTTCTTCTTTAATTACCTGGCATCAAGTTTTTATTTTCCCACTGAGGACCTCACAAAGTATCCCTGGTGGGGATTATACCACCCATGCTGATTACACTGAGCTGTTATCTGCTCGGGTAAATGTGAGTATTATTCATTTATTTCTTCTGCTGGATATATATATTTTATACAGAGAGCATTATCCGTTGCACTTTTATTTGTATTTTCACATATCCTGCTGACAAGATACGCATTGGCCACTACCATCTACTATATTCCTGAAGTGGGGGAATAATACCACTGCAAGCACTTCACACTAGAGCTGGTTTTAAGCTCTATCCCATGTGAGTAGGCCAATTTGGATTTTCTTCCACCTAAACCTTTGATATATTTTAAACATATTGCACTATTGGAATTCCTATTTTCTCTTTTATATCCCTGGACTTCAACCATTTGGAAGACATACTTACCAAAAGATAAAGGCAAACTTTTATAGACTTACCTATACTTTTGCACTTCATTTTGGACTTTATGGCTTGTTCTCTTTTATGCATATAAGAGTTTATATAATTTTATTAAGAACGTATTATCTGTTTTATTCAGTTGTATTATTGAGTATTCATTCATCCTAATCCTCTCGCGCACCCTATTATCTTGTTTTGTTGTTTGTCTTCTTGGGTTTTTTGGAGAGACTTACCAGTTTAGGAGTGCCGTCTCCCCTTCCTCTGACTTAGCACTATTCCACTCTTTGTTTTTGTTTACTTTTTGGAGCTTAAAGGGACACTATGGTCACCAGAACAATTACAGCTTAATGTTTGATTGTTGGGTGCACATACACTCTCCTGCACATGCACACTGAAGCACACAGAGATACACACATTGACACATACAAACACAGATACACACTGACATACACACTGGCGCATACACAAACACATATACATACTGACTCATACACACACAGATAAACACTGACATATACATACACACACTGACACACAGTGACACACATTTAGATAAAAATAACTCATACACACAGTTAGCACATACACATATTTACACAAACAGATAACATATACACACATACCATAAACATGCACAGATAACACATACACACATATACACACACAGACATGTACACACAAAGATCCCAGTTTACATATTTTTAGCCACCCCGTTTCCGTACCTTTTTGGTGCAATAGTGTGGCTTCCCTGGGATACAGTGGCATATGGCTGAGTTTAATGGGAGTCTGGTTCAGGCTCTCCTTCTGTTGTCATCCCCTCCCTCACTCTCCCATGTGGCTTGTTGGTGCCTGGCACCTGATCAAAGATAGCCATCGGAGGGCCCAATGTGCATTGACCACCCGATGGTCCCCTTGGGCACGTGGGAGGTAGTTCTGCCACAAGACAGGAAGCTCCAGTGCCACTCTGTGCATGCCTTGATGTGCACATCAACCCACACAACTGCGTTAGTATTTTGCCGGACCCCCGAAAAAAATGTTTGTGCCCTGAGCAGCCGTACTATCTGCCCACCTGGCAGTTATTCTACTGTGAAGTGGCCCATAGGGGTAGGTGCCCCGCCCCACTTAGATTTTGCTGTAATAAAAAATATGTAATTTGCTTTTATTAGTGTAATCAGAATTATCAGTGTGTGTTGATATGTGTGTTGTCTCTGCCTTGATTATGTCTGGAGTATACTTCCTGTGAATTATGGGAGTAGACATTGTTAGTACACTTCCTGTGTATTATAATAGTATACATTTTTAGTACCTTCCCTGTGTATTATAAAAGTATACACTATGAGTAAATTCCCTGTGTATTATAGGAGTATACTGTGTTAGTACACTTCCTGTGTATTATAAAAGTATACATTGTTAGTAAACATCCTGTGTATTATAGAAGAATACAATGTTTGTACATGCCCTATGTGTTATAAGAGTATACATTGTTTGTACACTTCTGTGTGTTATAGGAGAATACAATGTTTGTACATGCCCTGTCTATTATAAGAGCATACATAGTTAGTACACTTCCTGTGTATTATAGGAGAATACAATGTTTGTACATGCCCTGTGTACTATAAGAGTATACATTGTTAGTACACTTCCTGTGTATTATAGGAGAATACAATGTTTGTACATGCCCTGTGTATTATAAGAGTATACACTGTTAGTACACTTCCTGTGTATTATAGAAGAATACAGTGTTTGTACATGCCCTGTGTATTATAAGAGTATATATTGTTAGTACACTTCCTGTGTATTATAGGAGAATACAATGTTTGTACATACCCTGTGTATTATAAGAGTATACATTGTTAGTACACTTCCTGTGTATTATAGAAGAATACAATGTTTGTACATGCCCTGTGTATTATAAGAGTATACACTGTTAGTACACTTCCTGTGTGCTATAGGTGTGTATATTGTATTTCTTTCTAGAAAGCACGCTCCCTGTGTTTCTCGCACGCCATGTTATGTTTTCCTTCTTTGTGTGTTTGCATTATACAGTAAGCAAAGTGCATTTGTACAATTTACTAAGGTGCGTTTCCTTTTTCTAATGGGAAGTAACCTTGTGGATACTGTAGCATTTCCTATTTTAAATAAACATGAATATAATCCTTTAAATTATTCTCTTGATTAAAACGTGCATTTCCTGTAGTTTAGCAGCTTCAATACTGTCTTCACAGTTTATCTTTGTCTCTAATTCTTTGCAGCTGTTGGCGATTTTAGGGCGTGCCTACGAGTAACAGTATTTCTGCTCTGACTGTACCAAGAGAACACTACTAAACCGCTGTCACTCCTGCCTTTCTCCACTTAATCCCTCATAGCTGGTTATGATGCGATGAGTGCCTTGTGTAAAACAGATGGCAGAAACTGATACGTTTCCTAATTGTGGCCGGTTAATAGCTCAGGATAACAGTGAGATAAGGGCTAATAAGCCAGTCTTGTCCTTGCCAGGTGCTGTTGCTTTAACCCTCTTTCAATATCAAAGTGGTTCCAGAAAACCCCAATGTAGGGATGGATACAAGTTTAGACCCAAGCTGCTGTTACAGAACTACAGCGAACATGATCCCTTAAAGATTGGCTGGAAAAGGATCATGGGAGTTGTAACCTTGCAAAGTTGATTAGATGCCTATCTACCACCCCCTGTTTGAGTGTAACTGGCTGCATCATGTCTGTATAACCACGATTATTCTATATTATTATAAATCCTATGTCTATTTTTTAGACTTTATTTTAGAATTTTTTATGAAGCTCAGTATAGCGGAACACTTGAATGTGCTTTGGGATCTACCCAAAGAATCATCATCTTATTTTAATTGAATGCTTACTTTCCTGTGGACAGTTGGTCTAATTTATTCATAAACCCCTTACCAAACTTGTACAGGCTTTCAGTGTTTCCAGACTGAAATCAGATAGCTAGCCCGATGTGTCTGCTGGTGGTCTACAATGCATCATCCATTGATGGAGTCTACTCATTGCTATTTAAAGCTTAGACTTTTGGAGACCAATGCAAGATTATTTTACCTTTATCTTGCATAGACATCGCACAACAAACAGCTATGCTCAATCATGATTTCTTTTTTTTTGTAGCTGTGTGTATGGACATGTGAAGTTGTTTGTGTGTATGGGAGTGTACTGCTGTTTGAGTGTGAAGAGCAATATGTAAGTGTTTGCACATGTGAGTGTGTAGCTGTGCGTGAATAGCAGTATATAGGAGTTTGTACAGGTGTGTTAATAGCAGTGGCGTACAAAGGGGGTTGCGGTTGGCTGCGGTCCAGCACCGGGTGCCATCAGGCAGGGGAGTGCCACGCGGGCTGGCCAGGCTTTCTATTCTGTGACCTGTGTGGCTGCACCGGGCACCATAGCAGCTTCGGCGCCGGGCAGCCAACACAGCTCACACGCAGGGGCTGGGAGCAAGCAGGAAACCTGGCTCAGCTGGCTGCACGGAGAGTTGGGGGCGGAGCTAAAACGGCTGTGGGGGTGAAGCTAAATGCAGCCTCTTTCTGATCATACAAAGGGGAAGCAGGAAGGAGTCCCTGCTTCCCCAACTGCAGCACAGCATGGACAGTATCCACTCCTCCTCCAGTCCAAGCTGACTGTAAGTGAGAGAGTGTGTGCTGTGTGTAACTGTGATTGTGACTGTCTTTGACTGTGTGTGTGAGCGTGTGACTATCTGTGACTGTGTGAGTGACTGTCTGCCTGTGATTGTCTGTGTGACTCTGTGTGTGTGACTGTCTGTCTGTGACTGTGTGTGTGTGTGTGTGTGACTGTCTGTCTGTGACTGTGTGTGTGTGTGTGTATGTGTGACTGTCTGCCTGTAATTGTGTGTGTGTAACTGTCTGCCTGTGATTGTGTGTGCATGTGTGACTGTGTGACTGCCTGTCTATGATTGTGTTTGTGTATATCTGTGATTATGTGAGTGATTGTGTGTATCTCTGTGTATGTGTTTAGTAGATAGCTCCCTTATTTGGTGACTGTCTGTGACTGTGTGTGTGACTGCCTGTGTGTGTGTGTGTGTGTGAGAAACCGTCTGCCTGTGATGGTGTGTGTGTGTGACTGTCTGCCTGTGATTGTGTGTGTGTGTGTGACTGTCTGCCTAGGATTGTGTGTGTGTGACTGTGTGTGTGTATGTGTGACTGTTTGCCTGTGTGACTATCTGCCTGTGATTGCATGCGTGCATGTGTGTGTGTGTGACTGTCTGTGACTGTGTGTGTGTATATGTGACTGCGTGTTTGACTGTCTGCCTGTAATTGTGTGTGAGTGACTGTGTGTGGGACTGTGTGCATCTGACTGTGTCTGACGGTCTTTGCCCTGCAGTGAGACGGCAGTCGGGATCTGGTGTCATCGCGGCCTCGGCTTCATTACAGGGCATGCGAGGGACCTGTGCAGGAAGAGCACAGAGAACCCAGCAGCAACCACTGACCACCAGGGACTGAGGATCCACTCCAGCCCTTCTAGAGCAAGGTAGGGAGGCTGGGTGGACCTCTTATTTATTAAATGTGTGTATGTATGTATGTAATGTTTGTGTGTGTATGTGATTGTGTGTCTGTGATTGTATGTGTGTGGGTCTGTGATTGTGTTTGTGTATATCTGTGATTTTGTGTGTGATTGTGTGTATCTCTGTGTATGTGTTTAGTAGATAGCTCCCTTATTTGGTGTCCTTAAATATTGCAATATAAGGATAACAAATAAGGGATTTATTTACTAAACAACTGAAAATAAGAAAAGGGCTTTTTAAATTTTGATCCTTTAGCTGTTTAGTAGATAATTCCCTGAATTGGTGCCCGTATGCGAGATTTCCATATTTAAAGATACCAAATGAGGATGCTGTTTAGCAGATAGTTCCCTTATTTGGTGTCCTTAAATATGGCAAGCCCAAATAAGGATAGCAAATAGGGGAGTTATCTGCTAAACAAAGATCGAAGTTAACAGGTGTCAGCCAGCCCACAACAAGAAATCTGGGTGGCTAATGTGAATTATATGCAAATGTGTTGTCAGATGCCAGCATGCAGAGCACAGTGTGTATATGTATCTGCGTGTGTGTATGTCCGTGTATGTGTATATGTGCAAGCATCTCAAAATCTCGCCAACACTACACACAAATACACTCATGCATTTCAACGTCAACATTACATACAAACCCCACCATTATATATAACCACATCACTGCATTCAAATACCACACAACACACAAATGCATGCTTGCATTCAAACACCAACACTACATACAAACACACCCCTACATTCACTCACACATACTCATAGAAACATAGAAACATAGAATGTGACGGCAGATAAGAACCATCTGGCCCATCAAGTCTGCCCAATTTTCTAAATACTTTCATTAGTCCCTGGCCTTATCTTATAGTTAGGATAGCCTTATGCCTATCCCACGCATGCTTAAACTCCTTTACTGTGTTAACCTATACCACTTCAGCTGGAAGGCTATTCCATGCATCCACTACCCTCTCAGTAAAGTAATACTTCCTGATATTATTTTTAAACCTTTTCCCTCTAATTTAATACTATGTCCTCTTGTTGTGCTAGTTTTTCTTCTTTTAAATATAGTCTCCTCCTTTACTGTGTTGATTCCCTTTATATATTTAAATGTTTCTATCATATACCCCTGTCTCGTCTTTCCTCCAAGCTATACATGTTAAGATCCTTTAACATTTCCTGGTAAGTTTTATCCCGCAATCCATGAACCAGTTTAGTAGCCCTTCTCTGAACCCTCTCTAAGGTATCAATATCCTTCTGAAGATACTGTCTCCAGTACTGTGTACAATACTCCAAGTGAGGTCTCACCAGTGTTCTGTACAATGGCATGAGCACTTCCCTCTTTCTACTGCTAATACCTCTCCCTATACAACCAAGCATTCTGCTAGCATTTCCTGCTGCTCTATTACATTGTCTGCCTACCTTTAAGTCATCAGAAATAATCACCCCTAAATCCCTTTCCTCATATGTTGAGGTTAGGACTCTATCAAATATTCTGTACTCTGCCCTTGGGTTTTTACGTCCAAGATGCATTATCTTGCACTTATCCACATTAAATGTCAGTTGCCACAATTCTGACCATTTTTCTAGTTTACCTAAATCATTTGCCATTTGGCTTATCCCTCCTGGAACATCAACCCTGTTACATATCTTAGTATCATCAGCAAAAAGACATACCTTACCATCAAGACCTTCTGCAATATCACTAATACAAATATTAAAGAGAATGGGTCCAAGTACAGATCCCCGAGGTACCCCACTGGTGACAAGTCCAAGCTTCAAATATATTCCATTAACTGCAACCCTCTGTTGCCTGTCACTCAGCCACTGCCTTACCCATTCAACAATATTAGAATCCAAACTTAAAGGTTGCAGTTTATTGATACTCCATACAAAAACATGCATACATTCACACACAAACACTGCTCAGTGCTAAATACATTAAAAACATGTTGGTTGTTTTTACATTTAAAGTTGAGGGGGTGCCAAACATAGGACCTGCCTCGGTTGCCAACTGCTCTTGGTACGCCCCTGGTTAATAGTGTTTGTGTGTTAATAGCAGTATGTGGGTGTGTGTGTATGGGAGTGTGTAGCTGTGTGTAAATAGAAGTATGTAAGTGTTTGTATGTATGGGAGTGTTAGCTCTGTGTAAATGGCAGTATACATGTGTTTGTATTATGTGGGAATAATCAGCTAACTGGAAATTATACAAAATATACAAAACAAAATGCAGAATAGTGTGGGAAATCTAAAAAAAAAGTAAAGAAAGAATTTCTTGCTTTAAGATGATAATTAGAAGATTCTATATTCCCAAGAAAACATATATGACCATCACTAATGCAGCTTTTCTTCTGGCACTAATAAATATCTTCTCTTCTGCCAGAAACTCAGAAACAACTAACTTGTATATTTCCCCTGGCAGCCAATAGTTCTAAGATCCAGAGAGAGACAGCTGCACTTTAATAAGGCTAAGGCAATTCTCGAGTTCCGAAATGCCTCATTCTATCTATTCATTTTTCATTTCAAAGTTTTCTTTAAAGTTTCACTTACCTGTAGGATGGTAAGAGCTTCGACAGTCCTCGCCAGTTGCTAAATGCAACCTTGGCTAGGAATTTTGATATTGTTCGATATGCTACATGGGTACGTTGGAAAGTTATTTGGCCCTGAAGCACATAGTGTTTAGATCTTGAGAAATTAAGAAATAAGAAAAAATATATTATTATTATTTGTTGAGAAAATGTTTTACTAGGAAAAACTACACTCAAACGGTATTATCTTGATACAAGGATAATTCTTTTACATCTACAGAACATAGACAACAATTAGCAGCCGAGCAATGTTTGGTTTATTTGGAGACAGTGTTATTTTCAAAGATTTCAGATTTCTGGACGATTTGACGTTTTCGAGTCGGTTATTCTATAAATATGGAACTCTGAATAAGAAGCCTGGATGACCACTTGGATAGTAAGTCATTGGAAGTGGATCGTATGTTAAATGAACCTTAGAGAGTGCGGCACAGCATGACACTCGGGTAGTGTGGTGGCTTCCTGGAGAAGACTCTATGAACCAGACAAGCTAAGCAAAGGGAAGTGTTGTCCATTGTATTTATTGTAAAATGTCAAACTCATGTGAAGTAGAATCGCATTTCGCAGGACAAATTATTAAAATTTCTTATTTGTTGAGTTTACTGAGATGCATTCATGGTGTAGATGCATATATTACATTAACAAAACTGTGAATAGCTTTGGCATATGTTCAAATATCTGTTTACCTGCCTTAGCATTAAAACAGGATTTGTTTCTGAGTTCTGGGGTAGGTGATATCTTGTTACTTATTATTTAGAAAATTGGGCAGACTAGATGGGCCGAATGGTTCTTATCTGCCGTCACATTCTATGTTTCTATGTTTCTATTACCATGGAGTCCAAATGAGAAATCAAGGACTAGCCAAATTCCAAGATATTTATAGGAGTTTACTGGGGGACAAATCTTTGTTCAAGATTCCATTCTAACAATTTTGTTAGTATCTAGGAAACATTTCCGCAGTAAAAAAAAATCAGTTCATCTGAATCGATTTGTCTGAATATTTTTTGTTTTTGTTTGGAATATAAATTTTTGTTTTTGTTTGGAATATAAATATAGAATATAGATTTATTTTTACTGTTCCTCCTTTTTTCCCCTCACTTGATGTAAATTAAATCAGTATTTAGAGACTGCCCCCTAACCATCAATCTTTTTTTTTTTGGGGGGGGGGGGGCATGGATGGAACTCAGATTCAGGAAACAAACAAAGTTACTGGTCCATCACCATTTATTTATTTTATTTATGATTCAGTCACATGGCTATTCAGAGTTGAGAAATTTGGACACATTGCTGATCACCCACAATTTAGATGAATAGCAATTGGTTTGAAAGTGAATGCACAAGTCTAGTATCTAGGAACAGATGGATTTAAGCTATCAGAGGGACACTCTAGGCACTTTAACCCTTTTATCTGATTTATGTGGTTATAGTGTCTATAGTCCCCTGGCACTGTCCCTGCATTCAGTGCTAAACCATTTTTAAGCAGTTCAACAATCAATGAAGGTCACTGGTCACCAGCAGCATGGCCCTCACTGGAGATATGGCTAAGGTAGAGATTACACACTTCTTTCTAGCCATACCAATTCATACCAGCAATGATAGTGGTCAGCTAAAACTCTCAGCCACACACAACCACCCTTTGCTGCTCAGATTAATGCTTCCTCAGTAGACCAAGCAACACAGAAGGTGGTCTGCTAGGGGCTCTCATCTATTAAAACGTTAAATATGGTTTCAAACCGAAAGGAAGGGTGGTGCCAAGGGACTCCAGACACTATAACCACTTCAGTGAGATGAAGCAGTTACATTGTTTATAGTGCCCCTTTAATCTCTCAGAAAATACCAGTAGTAAAAAAGCCTCAGGTTGTGAAATGCTATTTCAAGGAGTATAAAATGTAGTTACCTGCATACACAGGTTTTGCAAGCCATGGGTACATTTATAAATATGGAAAACACAATGTTGCAGTCATGTTTGCTGTGAATTAATTAGGGCTGAGGTCTGGCACACCTTTAAGAGATTTTACATTTACCATTAGAAGCAAAAAGTTGACAGTCAAGAAATTATTAACATTTCTGTTAGATTAAGCTAACTTTCTTCAAGTCCTGAAGAATGTTTGCTCAGTCTAGCCTAAAGGTTGATAATAAACAAAAAGTTATATCTGAATTTAAAAGTCCTGTGAGTATTGTTTGTCTGTAAGGTTGATTTTCTGCTTAATATTAAACTGGGAAAGCTGAAATAAAAATCTTTGCGTGCAAGATCTGTGAGTGATTATATTGTATTATATATTATATAATATATATATATATATATATATATATATATATGATTTTATTATAAAATCAACATTTAGTGGTCGTCCATTAGCCCTCCATCTTTTTTGGTGCTACGGACAGGACTTAAAATCATGAAGCAGATAAAATAGTTTTGTCATTGTCCGTTTTGTTTGTTTAGTAATCTGCCTACAAAGCATTCCGTATTTTGGATAAATTGCCAAAAATTCTGATGCATTGCAATAAGTTTGAAATTAAAATGTTAAGATACTTTATTCTATCATTTTAAGTAAATCCGATCTGCAAAATGAATATGGAACTGCTGAATTGTCCTAAGATGCAATGTAGGTGTTAGTGAACGGACCCTGTGATTTGCTAAGCTCGATATTTTCTTGACAGGTGCATGTTAACATAACAAAATAAATGTTTTCAAGTTCCACCAATATACTTGTTAATGTATTTTAGTGACAGGTCTACTCTTTTAATAGTGGAATGTCAGTTAATTAGCCTTTTTTTACTGCCATACGTTTCTTATCAAGGATGGTCCATAAAAAATACATTATTTTAACCAACAAAGAGCTGCGGATTACTCTGGGGACAATGCAATTTTTCCAACTGTTCCCCGGAACGTGATGTGCAATTATGAATCAATTCATCATTTCAAACTCTTTCCTTGTAGTCAAACAATAGCATTAGTATGTGTTTTAAAGCCACTGTATGCCAATCAGTTAAGCTTCTATCATCAGAATTCCTTCCTTACCGCTGACACGCTGCTCCCACTTGGCCATAAGCCGCGTAGTAAACCCCTTCGTGCGGTATGGTTTGATTTGAACAATGCAAACAGTCCTGCTCACGTGTCAATCCTTGCACCAGCAGAAGCTTACGGACCACATCTTGTTTTTTCATTTGCAAGAAACATTTGTTACTCCAGCTGACCACATGCGATAGAATTTGCCAGTGTTCCAGCAAATAACAGCTGCTTCACAAATTACCTTAACCCCCCTCGCTTCAGGGATTAGTTGGGTACAGTGAACTCTGTGTATGGGAGGGCACAGGGCAAAATTCTATTTTTTTGGTAGTATAACCATAATTATTAAACCTGACTTTAGCGCAGCGGTTGGGATGTCTTGGCATGATGTGTTAATAACAAAGGATACTCAAATAAATAAAAGTGAGCTTAAAAATATATTAAGAATGTTTGCTTTTTTGTAGTCTTTATGCGTGTCCCTGTTTTGTTCTAATGAATAAATGTTGACAATCAAATTAATGTAATTTGCCAAAAGCACAAGTCTCGGATTCAATATTCCAGGTGATCAAACAGGGCAATAAAAGGAGATATAGGATATTCAAAAAACAGGCACTCATGGAGCATTGACAATGGGCATTTGGAGCACAAATAGTCTACCTTGAAAATGTATTGGCTATTTTAAACAAAAATGGTAAATTCTTCACAATTCCCAGCTTAGTAAATAACTCCAATCACTCAACATTCCTCAGAGTCTTAGGTATGGCTTAAAAACCAAAAGATGGATTGGGGCTGAAAGTGGAGAATGGCAAATTGAGAACATACATACACAAGCACTATTAAACGATTGCTCTGTTTATGAACTATATCAATGCGTAGACAGACAGATAGACACCAATAGACAGACACTGACAGACATATAGATAATACAGAGATATATATTGAGCACCTATCTTTGACCAGAAATTCTCTCTCTCTGCTATGTTAATGTTAAACAATATAATACTAAGGAGAATGGTAATTGACAACTGTGCAGTATATCGGGCTCTGCACTAGTGTATAACATGTGAATTGAATCACAAACTTAAAAAAAGATAAAAATAAATAACCAAAGACCTATTATATACTGCAACCACGGATACACAATGACCTATTATGTACTGCAGTCATGGATACACAATGACCTAATATATACTGCAGCCATTGATACACAATTACCTATTATATACTGCACCCATGGATACATGATGACCTATTATATTCTGCAGTCATGGTTACACAATTACCTATTATATATTGCACCCATGGATACATGATTACCTATTATATACTGCAACCATGGATACACAATGACCTATTATATACTGCACCCATGGATACATTATAACCTATTATATACTGCAGCCATGGTTACACAATGACCTATTATATATTGCACCCATGGATACACGATGACCTATTATATACTGCAGCCATGGATACACGATGACCTATTATATACTGCACCCATGGATATATTACATATTGCACCCATGGATACACAATGACCTATTATATACTGCACCCATGGATACATTATGACCTATTATATACTGCAGCCATGGTTACACAATGACCTATTATATATTGCACCCATGGATACACGATTATCTATTATATACTGCAACCATGGATACACAATGACCTATTACTTACTGCACCCATGGATACTCAATGACCTATTATATACTGCAACCATGGATACACGATGACCTATTATATACTGCAGCCATGGATACACAATGACCTATTATATACTGCAGCCCTGGATACACGATGACCTATTATATACTGCACCCATGGATATATTACATATTGCACCCATGGATACACAATGACCTATTATATACTGCACCCATGGATACATTATGACCTATTATATACTGCAGCCATGGTTACACAATGACCTATTATATATTGCACCCATGGATACACGATTACCTATTATATACTGCAACCATGGATACACAATGACCTATTACTTACTGCACCCATGGATACTCAATGACCTATTATATACTGCAACCATGGATACACGATGACCTATTATATACTGCAGCCATGGATACACAATGACCTATTATATACTGCAGCCCTGGATACACGATGACCTATTATATACTGCACCCATGGATATATTACATATTGCACCCATGGATACACAATGACCTATTATATACTGCACCCATGGATACATTATGACCTATTATATACTGCAGCCATGGTTACACAATGACCTATTATATATTGCACCCATGGATACACGATTATCTATTATATACTGCAACCATGGATACACAATGACCTATTACTTACTGCACCCATGGATACACAATGACCTATTATATACTGCAACCATGGATACACGATGACCTATTATATACTGCAGCCATGGATACACAATGACCTATTATATACTGCAGCCCTGGATACACGATGACCTATTATATACTGCACCCATGGATATATTACATATTGCACCCATGGATACACAATGACCTATTATATACTGCACCCATGGATACATTATGACCTATTATATACTGCAGCCCTGGATACACGATGACCTATTATATACTGCACCCATGGATATATTACATATTGCACCCATGGATACACAATGACCTATTATATATTGCACCCATGGATACACAATGACCTATTATATACTGCACCCATGGATACACAATGACCTATTATATACTGCACCCATGGATACATTATGACCTATTATATACTGCAGCCATGGATACACAATGACCTATTATATACTGCAGCCCTGGATACACGATGACCTATTATATACTGCACCCATGGATATATTACATATTGCACCCATGGATACACAATGACCTATTATATACTGCAGCCATGGATACACAATGACCTATTATATACTGCACCCATGGATACATTATGACCTATTATATACTGCAGCCATGGATACACAATGACCTATTATATACTGCACCCATGGATACATTATGACCTATTATATACTGCAGCCATGGATACACAATGACCTATTATATACTGCACCCATGGATACATTATGACCTATTATATACTGCAGCCATGGTTACACAATGACCTATTATATATTGCACCCATGGATACACGATTATCTATTATATACTGCAACCATGGATACACAATGACCTATTACTTACTGCACCCATGGATACTCAATGACCTATTATATACTGCAACCATGGATACACGATGACCTATTATATACTGCAGCCATGGATACACAATGACCTATTATATACTGCAGCCCTGGATACACGATGACCTATTATATACTGCACCCATGGATATATTACATATTGCACCCATGGATACACAATGACCTATTATATACTGCACCCATGGATACATTATGACCTATTATATACTGCAGCCATGGTTACACAATGACCTATTATATACTGCACCCATGGATACACAATGACCTATTATATACTGCACCCATGGATACATTATGACCTATTATATACTGCAGCCCTGGATACACGATGACCTATTATATACTGCACCCATGGATATATTACATATTGCACCCATGGATACACAATGACCTATTATATATTGCACCCATGGATACACAATGACCTATTATATACTGCACCCATGGATACACAATGACCTATTATATACTGCACCCATGGATACACAATGACCTATTATATACTGCACCCATGGATACATTATGACCTATTATATACTGCACCCATGGATACACAATGACCTATTATATACTGCAGCCCTGGATACACAATGACCTATATATATGGATACACAATGACCTATTATATACTGCAGCCATGGATACACAATGACCTATTATATACTGCAGCCATGGATACACAATGACCTATTATATACTGCAGCCATGGATACACAATGACCTATTATATACTGCACCCTGGATACACAATGACCTATTATATACTGCAGCCATGGATACACAATGACCTATTATATACTGCAGCCATGGATACACAATGACCTATTATATACTGCAGCCATGGATACACAATGACCTATTATATACTGCAGCCCTGGATACACAATGACCTATTATATACTGCAGCCATGGATACACAATGACCTATTATATACTGCAGCCATGGATACACAATGACCTATTATATACTGCACCCATGGATACATTATGACCTATTATATACTGCAGCCATGGATATACAATGACCTATTATATACTGCACCCATTGATATGCGATGACCTATTATTTACTGCACCCATGGATACATGATGACCTTTTATATATTGCACCCATGTTTAAGTGATGACTTATTTACTGCACCCATGCATACATGATGACCTATGACATGAATTTCTATTTTGTAGCCTTCTAAAGCTGACTTTGATTTGTAGGATAGTTATTTCAAAGTGTATTATTAGACTCAAACAACCAAAAATATTAAATCGAGTCCTTTTTTCAAAATGATTTGAAAAAAGATTATAATGGATTGCTTATCCAACAATTAAAATTACGGCCTTAGTCAGGATATTAAGAGGGACCTGGACACGGACTTTTAAATGTTAAGAGAGTTGTATGCCATTTTATGATCATTACCATTTTTGATATTCATTGTTTGTGGTTATGGTGTTTTGTTTAGTGTATTTTTCATGTTTGTTCATCATATATATATATAAATATACAAAAAGTCTTTTACGCCTACTAAACAAGAAAAACATATATTTTCTTAGTTTACCAAGTTCTCTGCCACATTTGTTTATAAATGTTAAAAATAAGCAAGCACTCCAGGGAGATCCATAAGGAAGCTTTCCTTTAAAGATTTTTAAAAAAAGATTTACATTAATAAGATCAGAGTCGATGTTTCAGTTCTATATTCGAACTTTAATCAGGACATAAAAGCAAACTAACAAACGGATACTATTTATAAGAACCAAAATGAGTTACTCACCATCCAACTGAGCGCTGATCGGCGTGTTCTAGTATCACGGGCACATGTATCACAGCTAAGAGGGGATCGTTCCTGTTATTATGCATCTCTTCCTGAGTTGTGTTTCAAAGCTGTCGTATACAGTAAACATAAATTTCAAGGAACCCATGCTTAAAATGGAATAACTTGGCAAAAAGGTGATTGCTTGTTGAATTAATTTGAATATGCCCAACCTGGATCCCTTGCGGTAACATCACTGCAAATTTGAGATTTTTGTGGAAAAAGCAAGTCTTATGGTTTGACTGGTAGGTGCAGATCTGTGTTTAACAATTTATTGACTATATATACAGTATCTCACAAACGTGAGTACACCCCTCACATTTTTGTAAATATTTTATTATATCTTTTCATGTGACAACACTGAAGAAATGACACTCTGCTACAATGTAAAGTAGTAAGTGTACAGCCTGTATAACAGTGTAAATTTGCTGTCCCCTCAAAATAACTCAACACACAGCCATTAATGTCTAAACTGTTGGCAACAAAAGTGAGTATACCCCTAAGTGGAAATGTCCAAATTGGGCCCATTTAGCCAATTTCCCTCCCTGGTGTCATGTGACTCGTTAGTGTTACAAGGTCTCAGGTGTGAATGGGGAGCAGGTGGGTTAAATTTGGTGTTTTCGCTCTCACACTCTCTCATACTGGTTACTGGAAGTTAAACATGGCACCTCATGGCAAAGAACTCTCTGAGGATCTGAAAAAAAAAATTGTTGATCTACATAAAGATGGCCTAGGCTATAATAAGATTGCCAGAAACTGAGCTGCAGCACGGTGGGCAAGACCATACAGCAGTTTCACAGGACAGGTTCCACTCAGAACAGACCTCGTCATGGTCGACCAAAGAAGATGAGTGCATGTGCACAGCGTCATATCCAGATGTTGTCTTCGGGAAATAGACGTATGAGTTCTGCCAGCATTGCTGCAGAGATTGAAGGGGTGGGAGGTGAGTCTGTCAGTGCTCAGTCCATACACCACACACTACATCAACTTGGTCTGCATGGCTGTCGTCCCTGAAGAAAGTCTCTTCTAAAGATGATGCACAAGAAAGCCTGCAAACAGTTTGCTGAAGACAAGTAAATTACATGGATTACTGGAACCATGTCCTGTGGTCCTATAAGACCAAGATAAACTTTTTTGGTTTAGATGGTGTGAAACATGTGTGGTGGCCACCAGGTGAGGAGTACAAAAGAAAGTGTGTCTTACAATAAAGAATGGTGGTGGGAGTGTCATGGTCTGGTCCTGCATGAGTGCTGCTCATGAGGGAGCTACAGTTCATTGAGGGAACCATGAATGCCAACATGTACTGTGACATACTGAAGCAGAGCATGATCCCCTCCCTTCAGAGACTGGGCCGCAGGGCAGTATTCCAACATGATAACGACCCCAAGCACACGTCCAAGACGACCACTGCCTCGCTAAAGAGCTGAAGGTAAAGGTGATGGACTTGCCAAGCACATCTCCAGACCTAAACCCTATTGAGCATCTGTGGGGCATCGTCAAATGGAAGGTGGGGGGCACCAAGGTCTCTAACATCCACCAGCTCTGTGATGTCATGGACCAATGGAAGAGGACTCCAGTGGCAACCTGTGGAGCTATGGTGAATTCCATGAGGGTTAAGGCAGTGCTGGAAAATAATGGTGGCCACACAAAATATTGACACTTTGGGCCCAATTTGGACATTTCCACTTAGGGGTATACGATTTAGACATTAATGGCTGTGTGTTGAGTTATTTTGAGGGGACAGCAAATTTACACTGTTATACAGGCTGTACACTTACTACTTTACATTGTAGCACAGTGTAATTTTCTCAGAGTTGTCACATGAAGAGATAAAATAAAATATTTACAAAAATGTGAGGTGGGGGGCGGGGCCGGACCGCCAGGCTGAAAGGACGCAAAATGGAGTAGCTCCTGTAAAAACCTCCAGTTTTAGCCCCAAAAAAATGGCATCAAGCTTACCTGACAACTGGCTGCCGAGCACCGGTGCAAGAGGCCACCCTGGTCCTGAGGAGAGGCTTGCTGAGCAGTTTTAGTCCCTCGGAGGGGCGATCCAAGTCACACGATGCGGACCGCTCGGGCGGTGAGCGAGGTGGACGGCCGCTGCCTGGCTATCCTGCCCACCAGTGGTAAGGCAGCAATCCGGGGTTAGGCGGGTCTGGCTCCGTTCCCCCCCCCTTTGGACCGGTGGGGGTGATCCCGGTCCCCACCCCGAGACCCATCGTACCACAACAAGGCCGGCACTTGAAGCTGAGGCAGAGGACGGACGGTGAGCCCAAGCGAGCAGGTTACAGCAGCGGAGGCCGGCAATATGGCGGACGCCACGTGCACTTCCCACCCTGGGAAAATTAGAAGCCATACTTAAAGCCTTCTGGGAAAAATTGGCAAGCAGACAGCAGGCGCCAACCCAACCTCCAGATGAGCAAGTAAGCACTAAGCCACCCGAGCAACAAAGCCGTAGACATACAGCCCTGCAAACGAACAATGCCACAAGAGGGCGCAGACGAAGACGGCTTCCCCTGGCGACACGCAAGATCACTGGGCACAAGTACCGGGAAAATGCTTACCTCCACCGCCAGTTGCCGCCGAACTCACACAAGACCAGCACACGTCCACAGCCTGCTAAGAAGCATGCAAGGAACAAGTCCACTCCTTCAGACCGGAATCTGTCCACAAAACTACAACCTCAACAAGCCCAACTGAGCCCTGCCTATGCACAGCAACAAGAAGTCCAATGCAGAACGACAGGTCGAAAGGGGCTGACACCAACCACAGTGCGAGACCAACCGACGGGTCAAAGATTCAACTACCTGCTCCAGCACACGAGTGGCATCGGGTGAAGGCTTGTAGTAGTCTCTCTCCCTGCTATCATCCTGGTCAGCAGGGCAGAACTGTATGTCTAGTCATCCTACTAGTATCCGATACCCAGCGGTTCAATTGTTTTATATGTTTCAGCTAGATTTCTCTTTATTCCCCATGCTATTTTCTTGTTCCCCTCAACCCAGATGTATACGAGCATAATCTTAATCTGAAAGTCCTCACTTCTACTTAACTTGCTGGCACCCCAGACAGGCGCCTAGAAGGACGAGCAAAACTTTTACAATACCCTCAGAAGTCATACCTTGCAGACCAGCACGTCTCCATACTATAACCTACAGGCTAGCATAGTTTAAGAATATTAATCTCACTGATAACTGCACTTAGCCGCACATACCTTTGATAAAGGTGCCTAGCCTCAGTACACTACAGAGCATTAACCCAATCTAACCTGACCCTTCAAAGCGTGTATGTTATACACAGTGGTCGGTCCGTGGGCCTAGTCACCACTACTTACTGCCTACATAGACATATGTCTAGCTCGCTCTCTACTAAACAACTCCTCATACTCCCGCTTGAAAAACCTGTTTTGCCATTTATTCTCCTATAATCTTCAACATATCTAGATAGACAATGATTTCTTAGAGGCTTCTCCCTATACTCCAGACATGTTCGACAAGCCTGTTATCTTACAACTTTAATTAAAAATGTGTGCAGTAATCGTATATGCCATGTACCTGTTGAACTGTATGTATTACAATTCTTGTTACTGCTGTTGTGGCATGGCAAGAGCGTTTGTTCATCATTTGCACCACAAAAATAAAGAATTAAAAAAAAAAAAAAATGGGAGGTGTACTCACTTTTGTGAGATACTGTGTATATGCTGTATATAGTTAATTATTGCATATTAATTTATATTTTATAATGCAGTAAGTCATTCTAAAGATGTTCTGGCTGTTGCTGAAACAGTGAAATCCAAACAAAACCTGAAATGGCATGGAACACTCATTTTTGTTTTGTTTTGAACATTTAAGTATAAATTTTAATTAACCATTGCCTGTTTTGTTTTCTTGCTAAAAGTAACATGGTTTTATACAAGGAAAGCCACAACGTTTTTGGTTTGTTTTAGGCCGGATTAATGAATCACAAAAGGAGTTTAAACTTTTCATAACCTTGTCAAATGTTTCATTTATGACCAATGACAGAGCAAAGGTTTGGAGACACCTGTCAGATCCGCATTCAAAGGGAACTTGTGTTCTAAGAACTGGAAATTCACTGAGTCTAATTGTGATTTTATACTATTCACTATAATGAGTTATAACGCTGCTGAGTGTAAGTATAAATTGCCTCATTATTGTGGAGTGTGCATTTCCAGATGGGTAAAGAAATGAGATGTATGTTACTGACTTAACCCATGACATGCAATGAGACTAGACATGCAATGAGACTATCACCTTAAAGGAACACTATAGTCACCTAAATTACTTTAGCTAAATAAAGCAGTTTTAGTGTATAGCTCATTCCCCTGCAATTTCACTGCTCAATTCACTGTCATTTAGGAGTTAAATCACTTTGTTTCTGTTGATGCAACCCTAGCCACACCTCCCCTGGCTATGATTGACAGAGCCTGCATGAAAAAAAAAAACTGGTTTCACTTTCAAACAGATGTAATTTACCTTAAATAATTGTATCTCAATCTCTAAATTGAACTTTAATCACATACAGGAGGCTCTTGCAGGGTCTAGCAAGCTATTAACATAGCAGGGGATAAGAAAATCTTAATTAAACAGAACTTGCAATAAAGAAAGCCTAAATAGGGCTCTCTTTACAGGAAGTGTTTATGGAAGGCTGTGCAAGTCACATGCAGGGAGGTGTGACTAGGGTTCATAAACAAAGGGATTTAACTCCTAAATGGCAGAGGATTGAGCAGTGAGGCTGCAGGGGCATGTTCTATACACCAAAACTGCTTCATTAAGCTAAAGTTGTTCAGGTGACTATAGTGTTCCTTTAACTGGAACAAACTTTTGGGGTACAGTTGCTTCTTCTGTGACTTGCTAGAGTTACACCCCAATCCTCTACATTACAGCTCATTCCTCTATACAGGAACAGACTCTTTTAAATGGCAGGATTTAAACCATGGAGCTTTGGTCATGCCTGCTACGTCTGTAAATGCTGGATCCTAATCTCCACAATCCAGTCATTCTCGGTTCTTATTAGGGGGTCATTGAGTACTCAGTTTCTTGCTTTTGGAGAATGTCCCTGTGATGAAACCACATATTTGGGGGTATCTATTTCGGGTCTGCATTCAGTAGCCCTCGGTTCCAAACCCCTTTTATTTCCCAGGCCCAGTTAGTTCAGAGAGGAAACCGAGTTCTAAAGGGCCCTGTTATATGGCTGCCATTCGGATACTTGCTCGCCATGTGTTAGAGAAAATGGCATCTATCTTGTCCCCAGAACACAGACAGAAGGAATTGGTCGTCGAGTGTCTAGTACCCTAGACTGGACACTCAACCATACGATTCCCCGGGGCCTCTTTCGCGGATATCTATTATGTTTTTCCCATTCGCCAGGAGAGTGCTATTTGGCGTGACTACTCCTGTTACACCAGTAAACCATCGTTACTGCTGAGACCCAAAGACAGTTCACTGTTTTGGGACTATTGGGAGACTTTCAAATCTTTACCTCGGTGGCGTTTCCATTGGGAACGTGGGATCAGAGCACTGTTTTGCCAGACTGGGCACTCTGGAGCCAGCTATCTGGACATACAATATGTGTGGGGGTTTGGACGTTTACAATGTATTATTGCATATTTTCATATTTCTGTATTTTCTGCTGAGTTACGATGACTCAGGTTTTCATGTGGGCGTGTTGTGGGAGTTCTCGTGGGCCTGTGTTATGTACCTTGGCTTGCATAAAAGCCGGCCATCTGAACGGAATAAAACATTCCTGTTGTACCCTTCATCTAGTCTCGACTGATACTTGGGTATGCGATTGCTGTGTTGCGGTGTTTCTCCTTTCTGCTTGCTAGGATTTCGGTAACGATCGGCTCAGTGCTCCCGGATATCTGGTCTATAATCATAAAGTTCCTAGATGGTTCGGTAGTGCCCGAAAGAACGAGTATTTGGGATACCAGCCTTCTTTAAAGTCCCTCCTTTGGTATAATAAGATTCTGTAGACTGCTGCCTAGGGAGCAGTTATGGGTCATAGAAAGCTTGTCATTTCTTGGGTGGTAAAGAGGTTGCGCATGCTTAGGAAAGTTTGAAAATGGATGCATTGGTCTCTTAAAAGGTGATTAAAGAGAAGTTTAGCATTAACTCAATGCAGTAGGTAACGTTACCTGTTCTATAGGTACATTGATTTTTATTTCTTCTCAAGCAGTTGAGAGAGCAATTGCGAAGCACAAAGAAAGAACTGGGAAAAGCAGGGATGTAAAAATGCTACTAAAAGCACAAAGCTCTCATTGAGATGTTATTTAGTTTTTTTGCGGACCCCTGGTAACCTGACCGGTTACCTCCACTAATTCCCTCCCTTCATCCAGCCAGGAACCCTTTAGAGGATAAGGAGAGCCATTCCTCCCCCCCCAGTAATTGGACGACACACAGTCCTGAAGGTACAACACAATTTTATTGGCCACACATGGATTTATGCAAGGGGTTTACCACACAACCATACAGGGTCCCATCCCAGTATCCTCCCCCTCCCCAGGGCCCTAGCGCAGGAAGGAACTCAGTTCCCTTTGTCCCCAAAGCCCTCCACTAAAACACAGGGTTTTCCACCCCAGCCTCCAGGGGGTCTTCTTCCCCGGAGCCTCTGTGCCTGTGTCCAGGTGTGGGAAAAAGGGAAAAGCCTGCCAAATTTGCCACTGCCCTAAAAGTGCCCACACCAATCTCAGGGATCCTCAAAGCCGTCCTTCCATTGACTAGCCCCTGTTAGCGAGATCCCGGTGTGAAAACCAGACAAGGGAAGCGTCTCCTTTCGGGGTATGAATGTTTCCCCTGGCTGGCGTTCATCTGCATGAATGGTGGCCACCCAGGGGAGCACTCATTAATTACTTCCCTTGCGAGTGCGAACGTTCTGATTAATTGGTGTGAACGTTCTAATGGGCCGTTCGGGAGGTCCTCATTCGGGAGACGAACGAGTCGGGAAACAACCACAAATGTTCCCCCTGGCTAGCGTTCGTCTAACAAACTGGCGGCCACCCAGGGGAGCACTCTGTCAGGATTACTGTTGATTCAGCATGCAGAATAGTATCATACCTAGGACTAAGGATAAGCCTTATATCAACTTGCAGTTTGAAACGAGCCGCAGCTGTTTCTAAAGCTGTGTGGGTCTTAGTCCAAGTCTAACGAATACATGTGAGATGGTCATCCAGATTGGAAATAGCATTGTCAGAGAACACCGCAGGGAGGATAGTAGGATGACGACCGTTGTTAACAAAAAATGCACTATGTCCAGATGAGTCATGGGTAGCATTATTTCTGGTGAATTCAGCCCACGTAACAAATCAGACCAGTTTTCCTGAGCGCCATTTATAAAACATCTCAAATATTGTTCCAACAATTGGTTGGCTCGTTCAGTCGCACCATTGGTTTGAGGATGTTATGAAGATCAAAACGATAATTCTATACCCAACTGTTTAGAAAATGCTCTCCTAAATCGTGACACAAATTGGGAACCCCTGTCTGACACAATATTTAGCGAAATTCGCTATTTCATAAATATATGAACCAGCTCTTGGGAAGAAGGTATCTTTTTGAATGGAACAAAGTGTGCCCTTTTAGAAAAGCGGTCAACAATCATTGGGATGGTGTTATAACCTTTAGAGATAGGGAGTTCCACAATAAAGTCCATACATAAGGGAGACCATGGGATACTGGGTATAGGAAGCAGTTGCAACAATCCACAAGGTAGCTATGGGGAACCTTAGAAACCGCACAAATAGTACATGCCCCACATACTCTCTGATGTCCTTTCTAAGAGATGGCCACTAAAATATCTAGAGACAGCTGACACCGTTTTATTA